AATTCTTCAATGTCCATGTCTTTCTCTCCAAAATACAAACAGCATGAAGATTTATTTAAACCAAAATGTCATTAAATGCCTATTTTGATGGATTTTAGCTAATTAAAATTCATCTTACTAGTTGGTTTTGACTTTGATGAAATACATTATCCATTTTAAGGATAACTTTTCTAATCCATTATTAGACTTTGTGAGGTTTTTGAATTTTAAAATAATTCTGGTTTACAAAATACCTATCAACAAGCTGGGCATGGTGGTGCAGGCCTGTCATCCCAGCACTTGGAAGGCTGGGGGCAGGATAGGCCTGGGATACATTAGTGAGTGTAAGGCCCAGTCTCACAAACCAAAACCTAAAGGCTCACCAACAAATACAGCTTAAGTACACAAAGCAATTAAGTATCTTTAAGTGTCTTTCATGTGGATGGAACCTTTCTAAGTTCTTTATAGATATTCTAATTAAATCTGGTCATAAGGGCCCTCATCCTGCCCATTCCCTTGGCTGCTCAAATCCTTTGTATGTGGTACATAAAATTTGCATATAATCGACACACACCCTCAAACTTAAATCATCTCTAGATTACTTGTAACACTTAATGCAACGTAAGTAGGTTTTAAAAAATATATTGTTTGGAGGAGTAACAAGAAAGTCTATACAGGATATGTTTAGTACAGATATTATTTTTCCCCAAATATTTTCTATCCATTGCTGGTTGATGCCAGATCCAAGATAGAGGGCTCCAACTGCACTATCACTGTTCACCTCATAGATGAGCAAACTGTAGCGAGAACCTGGTCTAAAGTTAAATTAGCAAGTAGTAGAGCCTACATTCAAATCAGATTTCACCTGAGTGTGGTAGCACACACCTGTAGTCTTAGCATTTAGAAGGCTAAGGTAAGAGGATCCCCTTGCCTGGGCTACATAGTGAGTTCAAGGCCTGAATTACAAAGCAAGACCATGGCTAAAAAAAAGACTTCAAAGCCTATCTTAATTACTTACTTCTTCAGTGTTGTTCTATAAAACACAAAGTGCTGCACTCCCCTATCATCTCTGACGTACAACCAAAACATTTGTTCAGATGTCTCTCATGAGTGTTTAACAAAACAGTTTAGAGAGGAATTTGGATCCTAGCTTCCTGAAGATTAGTATCAAGAGCAGATAGTTTGAAAAATGGTTTTAGATAGCATTTGAGTTTCCATAGCAACTCAGTTTTCCTGGATCAAATTTAAGGACAAATATACTTTCTAGCAAAAGCAAGGTCACACTGAGCCCTTTCTCTTTTTATTAGCTGGAAAGTAGGCAAGGGACTTCTATAATCTTACCATTTGACATACCATGCATCATAAACCAGTGTATCAATCAAAAAGTAGTTCAGCCTCCAGAACTTCTTTAGAGACTAACAATTCCTAGAAAATAACTTCTCTTTTCTGTCCCTTTTTGAGAAAATAAATCAACATTTGCCTACAGAATCAGTCACTTTCAGTATAAAATTTTAATTTTCAGATAGTCTTAACAGCTATCAGTAATTCCAACAGTAGCTTTTCTCTATGACTTAGGGGAGATTAACTATATAAAGATTTGTTTAAAATGGCACGATAACTAAAGTGGCAGCAAAACAGACTTCATTAAACAGTTTGTTGTTACAGCAGCATCAGCAAACACTTTATGAGCTGGGATTATGGACTTAATTCCTGAACATAGTACAGGCAAATTCTAACGACTTTCACAGCAGATATCTCCAAAAACTTAATCTTTTTTCTAACACAAATGAGGCAAGCCTCAAACGTTTTCTGAAGTACATGCCCTAGGGGCTGGAGGTTTAGCTCAGCGGCATAAGCGCCTGCCTTGGAAGCAGGGAGTAGTGAGTTCGATCCCCAGTACCGATAAAAAGGAAAAAGACAAAAAAAAAAAAAAAAAAAAAAAGTACATGCCCTGCATAAACGATATAAAGCTGTTTTACTTAGATACGGAGTAGCGGCTCTGAAGTGAACCATTATCTAAGATCCAAAGATAAAATTCATAGATCCAGCACTGAAGTTTACAATCTGGAAATAACTACCAAGTCAGATGAGTCAGTATTCTCAAAAAACAGCCTGAAACATCTGCACTGGTTCCATAACTGATTACTGAGTTCCACATTCCACACGTAAAGATGATTTGCCCCAAAACCTAACTAAGTCTCTTTCTAGAACCCGGAATATTTACTGTGGGAATCACCATGTGCTCCCCACATTTACAAACGCGCCCCCAAATAGACAGTGTGCATTTTAAAGCATCCCCTTAACAGGAACAAAGCTTTCTGGTTTTGGTAGAGATTTATCTGGCAGGTTCTCCTCTATATGGGTTTCTGGCCCAATTCTCCTAGGATCAGAGGAGTCACCTAAGTTTTATAAACAAAGATTCCTAGTGGGTCTTCGGTATTGAGAGGTTAAGTGTTGGGCAGAGGAGAGGCTGTGTGGGCGGGTCACTGTCCCCAGCAACTCCAGACAGCGTTCTTCATCCCAAGCGGTAAGGCTAGGGAACGGAGGGTCTGCACCCCAGCCCCGTATCCTGAACTCTTAAGTCAGCCTACCAAGCCACAACCTTCACAACAGCCCGTGCTGTGCATCTCACTGAGGAGGTGTGACCTCACTGTATTATATTTGGTTGGAAGGATGTTAGGATTATTCTTTTAATTGCTGGCACACAGCAGGGTCAAAGCACAGCCTCGGAGGTTCTCGGCTGCTGGGGACAGCGGCCAGGCCACCACACCCCTCCTTGCTCTCTCTCCTGCCCGGGGCCGGGAAGCCAGGTCCTGCCTCTAGGAGCTCACCAGGGCCCGAGCCCGAACTGCCGACCGCGGGGTCGGTTCTCGCCAGGCCCTCTCTCCCCTGTCCCCCGACCCTCGCTTCGCCTCCCTTCTCTTCGGGGCCCTCTCCTGCCGGCTGCCCCGAGGGTGAACTCACGGCAGCCGCTGCGCCAGTGAAAATGTCCTCCCCTTCGGTGTCGCTGTCCCCAGCCTCGGGTTCTGAGCCGCCCGTAGCCCCCTCAGACTCCGGATCCAGGCCAGGGAAGGGAGGAGGGAGTCTCTCCGAAGCGCTACAGCCACCAACTCCCGACGCCATCTTTCTCCACCCGCGGCGGAAGCCGCAACAACAACTTTATAGAGAGATAGCGCCGCGAGCAAAGCGATCCAGCGCTGCGCGGGCCCAGCGACCCTGCGAGACCCAAGGGGAGCTAGGGGGCGGGAAGGTGGGCGGGGCCCTGGCGCTGGGGCGGGGCCTCGGTTGCAGCCTAGCAAATCCGTGCCTGGAACCACGATGCCTAGCCACTGATCAGGCGGGCGCAGGGGGCAGGGGAGGGGCTGGGAGCTGCTTTTTCCTTTGTGCTCTATTTTCAACCCAGCTTCTAAGACTGCCTTTGAATAAAGGAGCCTGTAGCTATATTTGAAAACATACCCATGCCGAGATTCGGTAAATATTTTTGATCGAAGTCTCCCAAAAGATTACAGGAAAGTTTTGCCACTTTATTCTTGGACCACCTTCAGTTAATTCATTCAATATATACTGAGCATTTACTGGGGCCTGGAACCTTGCTGTGTATTTGAAATTAAGAAGCTAGCCGGTGATTTAGCTCAGTGACATAAGTTCCTGCCTGGCAAGCACGACATTGTGAGTTCGATCCCCAGTGCCAAAAAAATAAAAAATAAAAAAAAAAAAAATGAAGAAGCTAGTGGCTCATGAGGTGTTAAGAGTTTGATGAAGGAAGCAGTCCTGTAAAGCACCTCAGCATGTTAATGCTATAACGTGCTTCAGGATAATGAAACAGATTATCAAATTTGCTTGAAGAAATCAGGAGGCCTCACAGAGGAGATGAGACCTCAGTGTATTACATTTGGTTGGAAGGATGTAAGGATTATTCTTTTAATTGCTGTGGAGTAAATGGAATAGAATAAGTGGCAGGGAAATGGTTAAATTTTGAACATGGGCCTAAATGATTCATTGTCTATCATGGGATAATTCTGCAATACTTTATAACCCTAACTTTGGGGGGGGGTAATTGATTGATACTGGGGATCTATGGGCACTCTACTACTGACCTACATCCCCAACCTTTTTGTCTTGAGACGGGAGTCTCACTAAGTAGCCCACCCTGGTCACTCAGGTTCTTGCAATTCTCCTGCCTCGGCCTCCCAAATAGCTAGAACTATAGGCATGAGCTACAAAACCCAAACTTTCTCTTTTACAGAAATAAAACTTGTCACCAACATTGGAAAGGGTGTTTGTTTCCAACTGCGTATCTTCAGCATCAGTTGAGGGTTCTCTCAGGTCTCGGATCTGCCTAAGGGCAGGAGCAGGGTCCCCTACCTTTGTAATCTTGGTGCATACTCGTTGCAAATGGCAAATCAGGTGTGTGGTAAATGTCTCAAATGTATCTGGAGGAATGGATGTGTGAAACAAAATCGACAGTCACATAACTAAGATTCTTCACAACCACGAATACCAAAAGATTATCGTTTTTAGAATGGTTATCTCTATTATATCAATTAGATAACCCTGACCATAGGGAAAGTTCTCTACTTATAAGCTGTCTTTAAAGGCGATTGGTAGAACCATTCCCCATAATGGGGAGTTGTGAAGACTGAGTCACTAGGCGATGAGAAAACCACAAAATCCTCCCCTTCTCTCAGTCGTGCCATGTTTAACTCTTCCTAACTGGCTTCCAAAGACTGGTCACTTTCCCACAAACGGAAGCCCACTTCCGGCCTCATCAGGAAGATGAGGGCTGGAAGCACTTCCCTTGAGACGCAACTGTAGAGTCTCCGTAATAGACACCACGATCACTTTTCCCTACCTCCTCAGGGTTCATCTTTAGCTTGTCTCCGACATTGGGCTACGCACTCACTGACCGTTACTTTTACCCCCCCACACACATATGGGACTACAAATCCCAGAATACAGTTCGCTGCTTTTCGAAGAAAACGTCATATAAATCCCAGCATTCAATGCGCCTCAAGGGCCGTGAGGATTGCTTTCTAGTCCCGCCGAAACTGAGCAAAGCATGCTGGGGCATGTAGTGCTGGTGGTTTCTTTTCTGAAGTCCTCAGTTTCGACCCGGTGGAGTCCTGCTTCTCTGCTCCCTTGAACTCTTTTCTTGTTTTGGCCCGTTTGAAGACCAGGAAGTTGATGAATCCTGAGGCCGCCTGCTGACAGACGGTGGCTCGGGTGGGACAATCACCAGGGATGGCGGAGCGTGAGGATGGAGCGAGTGTCCGGGCTGCTCTCCTGGACGCTGAGCAGAGTCCTGTGGCTCTCAGGCCTCTCTGAGCCGGGAGCTGCCCGGCAGCTCCGGATCATGGAAGAGAAAGCGCTAGAGGTTTATGGTAATTAATTTTATCCAGTGCTGCATTTAGCTTTCTATGTAGAGTGGTGGAAGGTTGGGCAAGAGATTTTTGCCGGAACTAGCCGGAAACATGGGAGGCGTTTTCTACAGGGTCCTAACCCACGCGGGACTAGAGTTATAGGACTAGAGTTCTTCCTAAACATGGGGGCACGCTGAGCATGGAAATCTAAAACACTTCATTTCCCAAACTCACCTAGTGCACAGTGGCCACTGCAAGACTGAGCGCAAAACTCGGGCTGGGGATTTAGCTCAGTGGCATAAGCGCCTGCTTTGCAAGCGCGTGGTCGTGAATTCGATCCCTGGTACTGATTAAAAAAAAAAAAACAACGAAGCCTGAAGGTGGTCAGTGAGGGAACAAAGCTGGCTTCTGGCGCCACATGAGCTTTCTTCCTCTCTGACTCTGTTGTGTGGTGGCTGAGCTGGGGACTGACCCAAGGGCACAGCCTCAATAAGCGGAGATTTCTGCGAGGAGTAGACAAGACAGCGTTCACCTGGCCAGGCCTCGAAATGCAGTTCCTCAAAACGCTCAAGTGGCATTGTCTGTGTATACATACATGTATACACACACACATATTCTATCAAGTAGTTGCTGATTCTTGGGAATATTTTCATCGTAGACATACAGAAACAAAGGCTTAGAATGGTTAAACAATGCCCCAGGGATCACACTGTCAGGAACAGAGCAAAAAGCAAAGCCCACATTTTCTGATTCCAAATGTAGTGCACTTCATAAGTGCGGTGTGATTCATATTCTCTTTCTCTCTCTCTCTTTCTGTCTCTCACTCTCTGTTACTTTTTAAAACTTCAAAACACCAGATGCAACATGAAGAGAGCTAATCATAAGACTATAAATGCAATTTGGATAAGGATAATAAGCCAGTAGAAGAAAGCCAGGAATGTGAAAAGTTTACCTTTGAAGCTAATCGAGTTTACTTCTTGATGGAGGCAGGGATTACTTAACCCTAGCCAGATGGTGATTCTGAGTGTGTTGGTCTCCACCAATCTTTGATTCCTGGTCTCCCAGACTTTTAACTACGGCACTCAAGGATAAGCTTTGCAGGAGAAATGATTCTAGCCCGCAAATTTACTAGTCTAACTGGAGCTCTAGAAAAACTTAAGAGGAGTCACTTGAGCTGGGCCTGCAGAAATACTGGGATCTGAATATGTGGAGCGTCAGAGGGCAGATTAAGTTGAGAAAACCAGAAGAAAAGTATGGAGGTGAGATATAACACTGGAATGGCAGATAGGGGGAGCTGCAGGACAGGGTTTATCGGTTGCAGGGAGAGGTGTGAAGAAATCCAACTGTCAAATCACTAAACAACTAGAGAAGTTCAATAGGGAGTAAGGTTTAATTTCAGGGTTTAGTGGCAGGTAACATAATACAGCTTTTAGAAATGAACCTTTCAGGGAGAAAAAATGAGGTGCAGAAAATTTCCTTTTCAAAAACACCCTACTTCCCTAAATCCCATGGTAACACAGATCCCTGAAAGAGAATCTTTCTCTACTTTCCTGCCTATATTTTCAAATTCTGTTTCTCATCAGGTGATAACCCCAAGGAGACAGCTGAGAAGAAGGTAGAGTTTGATTGATTTGTTTTTTCCAGCGGCATTTCTGGTTACAGGGGAGATACAAATAATAGACTAGAACCTCAGCTTGGAAACATCAAACCCATCCTACCAAAAGTTTTGTGTCTTGCTTTCCTACCCCTCCATTTTTTTTTTTCCTCCAGATTAACTGACTGAATACCCCTCCATTTCTTTTAGCATCTTCCTTCTCATCTTTTTTCTATAGCCTCAGAGTAAGGAGAAAATCTTGTACTTCCTGTGACTATCCCAGGATTTTGCTTTCCTAATCCCATTCCTTTCTGCTTAATCTTATCTTTTTTCTTCTGTTTAATCCTTCTCTTTGGGCAATAAAACATCCTCAGGTTTCCCTTATCCTTGTCATTGTTTTAGTTTCCTTATATAAAATGTTTGTCTCTGTCCCTCTTTTCCCAGCCAAGGCTCTATAAAATACATGTTCAGTTCCCACTTGCTTCCCCTTTGGGGAAACTGCCTCTACCTTTACCTGTTTTCTTGTATGTTACCTCCTGATGATGAAGATCTATTTTACCTCTTGTCAGCCTGAATTTCTCCGCAGCATTAGATGCTCCTCCTTTCTCTGGTTCTCTGTGATTTTCTTGCTTTTCTTCCTCTACTCATTAAATCTTGTACTTCCCAAGTATCTACCCTTGGGTTTCTTTGCCTGTAGATGAATGAGTCTCAGACTGGGCTGCACATAACCTGAGGGAGTGGAGGGACTCAGTGGTAGAGCATTTGCGTAGCACTCACAGGGCCCTGGGTTTGACCCCCTTTCACCAAAAGAAAAAAAGAAACATAATAACCTGAAAAATTATTTTTCAATTTAAATATTTTTTATTATCTAAAATAGGTTTCCAGAGAATGTGAAATTAATATACAGAATTCTATATACATAATAGTTTCACTTATTAATAACATTATTATTTATTATAGGAGGTTGGGGATATAGCTCCGCAGCACAGTGCTTGTCTGGCAAGTACAATATCCTGAGTTTGACCAGTATTTATTATAAATTTTTTCATCGTTTTGGTTTTTTAAGACAGGATCTCATGTAGTTCAGGCTGGCTTTGAACCCACTATGTAACCCAGGCAGTCTCAAACTTGCAGTGATCCTCCTGCCTTAGCTTCTCCAGTACTGGGGTTATAGGCATAGGCCACCACACCAGGCTATTTGTTATAACTGACAATCTCATAGCAAGTAATTGTTTTTTCCCTGATAAGCCTCAGTGCTCAGGTCATACCTCAAAACCCTAATCAGAATTTTAGGGTAAAATGAAGACATCAGTTTTCCATTTAAAGTCTTTACAAATCCAGTACTCAGCCAGAATTCTCTTCATTCTTAAGAATTCCATGTATTTAACAACCTCACTATCTACAGTTCAGTATTTGCTTAGAAGTTCCCCCTTGTTTGCCCATGAGCACCTCAAAATCACTGCATATGAAATTGAACTCATTTGCCTCAACTTTCTGTTTCTTTTTCCTTTTTTTGTTTTGTTTGGTTTGGTTTTTTGAGACAGGATCTCACTATGCAGTTCAGGCTGGCCTTGGGCTCACTTTGGTCTCAAATTTGCAATGATCTTCCTGCCTCAGCCTCCGTAGTGCTGGGATTACAGGAGTGCGCCACCACACCCAGTTTGTTCTGTTTCTTTTTATCCTGTCAGTGTTCTCCTAGACCAGTGCTGGCATACTTAAGACACAAGACACGTGTGCTGCAGCAGACTGTTTGTATCATTGAAAGCTCTACAAGGTTCACCATCACGGCCCTAGACTCTTGCATTTAGAATAAGTCATTCTTTTATTCTGTTCTTTGAGAACTCCATATTGCCTATAACCAGCTGTCAGAGACCTTAATGGTCTGGCTTAACCCTTATACTCTTCTGTTCCTCACTTATGCTGGGTTCTAGGCAAATGAAACTTATTATTCTTTGCTTCCTATCACTTTAAATGGCAAATGTTGAAATGTTACCATTTTTGAAGTCTTAATTCACATTACACTTTATAAAGTCCAACACCACACTCTGAAAATTTCTCTTGAACTATATGATACTTTTCTCGTAATTATTACATTTGCTCTGTGACACTGACTCTAAGAAATTGGATATGAACTAATGTTGATTCAAGAAACCAGTTTTCTTGGGCCCCATGTGGTAGCACATCCCTCTAATCCCAGCACTGAGGAGTCTGAGGCAGAAGGATTGCCACAAGTTCAAGGTCAGTTTTGGCTAAAGAATAAATTCAAAGCCAATTTGAACTATATAGTGAGACCTTGACTCATAAACTAAACCAAAAACAAAGCAAGAAAAAGAAAACAGAGATAGGCATTGTGATACATGCTTGTAATCCCAGTTACTAGGAAGTCACAGGCAGGATAATCCAAGTTTTAAGGCCAGCTGGGGCACTTAGCAATACAGTGTTGCAAAATTTAAAAACTTAAAGGGCTGGGGATATAGCTCAGTGTCCCCCAAGTTTTAATCCCCATCTCCCCTCATCCCTACCTCCTACAAAAAAAAAAAAAAAATTAGTGGAAATTTCTATCAGAAGTCTGGAAGTTGCTGTAATATTTGCTTAAAAAGTCAGCACCTGGGAGTTCAAGGCCAGCCTGGGCTACAAAGTGAATTGAAGGTCAGCCTGAACTGCATAGTGAAACCTTGTCTAAAAAAAACCCAAAAAAATAAAAATCAAAAAAGCCAGTACTTGGATTATGATTAGCAGAACCATCCTTATTTGGCCTATTCGTGTTATAATTAATGCCTTCTCTTTGGCATTCTTTAGATTTGATTCGAACTATCCGGGACCCAGAGAAGCCCAATACCTTGGAAGAACTGGAAGTGGTAACGGAGAGCTGTGTGGAGGTTCAGGAGCTAGACGAAGAGGACTATCTGGTTATTATCAGGTTCACGCCTACCGTACCTCATTGCTCTTTGGCGACTCTGATTGGTAAGGAAGTGTGTGTGTGTGTGTGTGTGTGTGTGTGTGAGAGAGAGAGAGAGAGAGAGAGAGAGAGAGAGAGAGAGAACTGTTTGGCTGATAGGAACCAGAATAACAGTTTCTACCATGTATTACACTTTATGATGAATACCTGATGAGTATTTTCATGCCTTCATCTTCTGTAACCCTCACAGTTGTTCTGCAAGAGTTAAATCCTTTAATCTTCATCTTCAGATGAGGACTCTAAAACTGCTAGAGAGTTTCAGTGACGTGCTGGGAATCATATGGCTAGGAAATGATGTGGTTCACATGCTCAATCCTGAGTCCCGTGCCTCCTAGTCCACTGCCCTTTTTAGTTATGTTGTGATGCTTCTTAGGCATCAGCAGCCACAGTTAAAAAAGTGAGCAGAGGTTGGCTCCTCTTCTGCTTGTGGAGATAACAGCAGGTGCTGTTGAACCACCACTGCCACTCCCATCTAATATATTGTGTGTGCAAAAGTTCAGGTGGGAAGATGTCTCAGTTACTTTTCTCTTTTTGCTGAGACAGAATACCCAACACCCAAAATGAAGGAAGGAAAGATTTATTTAGCTCACAGTTTGTGGAGTTTCCAGTCCATAATCAGCTGGCTCTAAGACAGGGTGGCACGGCACAGGGCAACAGTGCAAAGTGACAGAAGACAGCAAGTAGCACTCACACCATCTTCCTGCCCTCTTGCCGGGGATGAGGATGTTTCCCAGTAATGATCGTGGCCCTCTGCTGAATCCCTTAGTTAAGTTTATAAACTTCTCAAGTTGACACAAGGTATCAATCATTACATTAGATAGTGCTGGCAATGGAACCAAGACCTTGCCCATGTTGAGCAAGTGCTCTATCACTGACTTATATAAAACCAGCCCCCTGGGAGGGTCTTTCTTTTCCTTTTTCTTTTATTTTTTGTACCAGGGATTGATCTGGTGACCTCATGCTTGCAGAGCAGGCACTTATGCTACTGAGCTAACCCCCCCCCCAAGGTATTCCCTGAGGCATTTTTCTACTTGTAAGACTGCTCTCCCAAAATTTTGGATTAAGTTCATAGTCCTTTTCTTTTCTTTTCTTTTTGGAAAGAAAAAAAAATGCAAGTTAGTTATATTACTAATGTCTCTTAGTTCACCAAGAAGGAAGGTTCATGTGAATATCAGTTGGAGAATTTTGTATGCCCATCTTATTCTCTGAGTAACTACTTTAATGATAACAATATGCAGTCTATTGACTAATATTATTCTCCTATTTTTTGTTGTGAAATTTTGTTTTACTCTTTTTCCCATAAAATAAGAGAGAGAATGGAAAAATAAAAAAGGACTAGCCTAGACCCTATCTCAAAACATTAAAAAAAGATCTGTCTTTCTTTCTTTGGTACCAGCGATCGAACTCACAACCTCCTGCTTGCTGGACAGGCACTTATGCCACTGAGCTAAATCCTTGGTCCAAAAATAAGAACTTTCTATAGGTTCTTTGATTCCATATTTAAGGACTCATAAAAGTTAATATTTTAAGCATGCCCTTACATAAAGATGTAAATAGTACTTCCGCTATCCGTTGGTCAGAAATTGTTTGATGCCAAAAAAATAACTAAGTATTCACTAATACTCTTTTGTAGCCCTGGAATTTTAACAATCATAATAATACCCAGGGTATCCCAGTACCCTAGTCCCTCAAGTTGAGTCATACTAGAATCCCTAACATAGGGATCCAGACTGTGAGATCTGTGAGAAGACAGACTGCAGCAGTAGGAACTATATGCAAATATTATCTTTTGCATGCTTTTTATAAATTTGCTTGCTTTTCAACAATGTATTCCCATCATTTGAAAATTTTAAAACATGAAAAGATACATTGGAGCCGGGCATGGTGACATACGCCTGTAATCCTAGCACTTGAGATGCTGAGGCAGGAGAATTGTTGAGAGTCAAGACCAGCCTGGGCTACAAAGTGAATTCAAGGGAGCCTGAACTATACAATAAGACTGTCACTAAAAGATGAAACAGATAAAAAAGATACACAGGAAGTCTCCTTCCTACACTGTCCCCCATCTGCCCGTTTCCCACCACCTTTATTACCCAATAGTACCCATCATAGCTGCTCATTTCCTAGGCATAAACATTCTAATACAAATGTGTGTTTTTTAAAACACAAATAGTAATAGTATGCTTGTTTTTCTTGGTATATCACAGAGATCATAACAGTACATGTTGAGGTGTTGTGGGTTTTTTTTTTTTTTTTACAGTACTGAGAATTGATGAGAATTGAACCTTTACACTGAGAATTCAGTGCCTTTCCACTGAACCAAATTTTCAGCCCTTTTAATTTTTTTTTCCCTCTAAATTGCTCAGTTGAGAATCAAACTTGTTTTCTTCCTATGGTCAGCTCCCCAAAGTGCTGCATTCACAAACATGTTACCACACTTGGGCCCTTCATTCTTTCTTACAACTGCATAGTAATGCATTGTTTATATTCATCACTAATTAATAAATTCCCTATTGATACTTGGTTTGAAATAAAGACCCTTTATATTCTTTTCCCCCTTTCAAAACAGGAGGTATATAGTTCAGGCAGGTCTTGAACTCACTACATAGCTCAGGCTGGCCTCAGACTTGCAATTCTCCTGCCTCAGCCTCCCAAGTGCTAAGATTATAGGTGTGCACCACCAAGCCCAGCTCCCTGTTATTCCCTTGGCTGTCTTCAGTAGTGTACATACAGTCATACTTAGTCAACACAGTTGAAAAACGGGATGAACAGTCTTTCAGGCTGCTATGTCAAGCAGCATTTCTTTCTTTTTCTGGTATTAGGTATTAAACCTGAGGCCTTCACACTGAGCTACTTCCCCAGCCCTTATAATCAATGAATAAGTTGTCTAGGCTAGACTTCAACTTGCAGTCCTCCTGCCTCAGCTCCCCAGAGTGCTGGGGAGGGACATTTCTTATTAAAAGGTAGTCATAGCAGAAAAGGAACCCAAGTAAGCATTCTACCCTGATTGCCTAGAAGAGCCACCTATTGTGTTACCTTGGTGAATAATTCCAAACTCAGAGAAGACCCTGAAGGGCCCCCTGGGTAAGGCAAAGCAGGCGTAGTCCCTAGTGTTGACGTAAGACTGGTAAGTCCCTGGTGAGAAGGCTGCTGCCTGGCCGCTATGGTCTGGAAGGAAGGGCACAGGGGTTAGAGCCCAAAGCCACAGACTTGGCTTCTGCCCCTGCCGCTTGTTAACTGTGGGATGCCAACAGAGCACGTTCCCTGACTGTGAAAGGAAAATGACAAAATGGTAAGGGCTGACCACTCTGGGAAGCTGAGGCAGGAGGACTGCAAGTTGGAGTCTAGCCTAGACAAGTTTTAAAAAGCAAAATCACAAGGTGGGTACAGCGGGTCAAAACTGTGATCAACCAATAAATAACAAGCATAGTTGTTTAGATAATAGTGATCCAATGGGGAGGCAGGTCAGGTAGCAAGTGCACATGAGAGATCATTAATTTTAAATGATAATCTGTAGTCCTGGTCTTAGTGGGTGGGAGCAAACCGTCCACACCTAATGAGTGGTTTACTCCCAGGGGAAATCTAGAGGCTGGTACCAAGAATCTTCAGAGTTTCTGGTTAGCCCTTAGGGAGTATGTAAATCTGGCCATTAGGATTTGAATCTTCTTCAGATGGGCCTGCAGCCACAGTTGGGAAGTGTTTTCATCTCTGTCACTGACTCCCTCAAGTATTTCTCCCTAATTTAGCCATCTATAATGCTATTAAGGAACTGATGTAGTTTTTTAATGTCTCTGATACTTACGACTGAGCTACTGTTGGGCTGGTTTGGTTTTTGTTTTGCTGCATTGGGGATTAAACCCAGGGCCTTGGGCATAGCTAGGCAGGTGCTCTCCTACTGAGGTACACAGCTCCTAGAACTGTGTTTGAGACTCTAAGATAGGCACAATCATCATCTCATCTAATCCTTTCCCCTGTTCTGGAATTTTTCAAAAGATTTTCTTAGAACATTTAGTAGTATTTAAAAAATCAAAACTAATTTCTTATCTCTGCAGAAGATAAGTTGTCGGCTAGTTCGATGGCAGTGGGTTATCAGAACTTACTAATACTAGTGTCATTAAAGTTGGTATACCACCCCCTCCCCCCCACTGCTAAATTTGACTGGCTTTAAAAAAAAGAAGATAGGTTGTCTAGCAGTTATGTTTTTTGTGGTAGGATGGTTTGGGATTGTATTATTGATGTTTTTACTTTCAGTCAAACCAAAATAATAAAAGATAGGTTTGTTAAGACAGTCTAGTTTTGTAGTTAGCTAGCTTTGAACTCACTATGCAGCTCAGATTGGCCTCAAAGTCTGATCTTCCTGCCTCAGCGTCCTGGGTCCTGGGGTAAGATGTGCACCATCAAGACTAGCTAGGAATTGTTTTCATTTTTAGTTTTATTATTATTTTTAAACAGTGACAGAGTTTATTTGAAAAAGTAAAAGCGAAGAATAAAGGAGAGATTGGCTCCGCAATGTGAGCTTGGACCCAGGAAGAGAGAAAAGTGAGATTAAAAAAAAAAGTATACCCTGGAGAACACAGTGTGGGCTATTGAGAGGAAAGCTCTTTTGGCCAGAAATTATTTTTAATAGCCTCGTAGGCACTTACATGTTATTTTGAAGAAGAAATAAGCTGCTCCAACAGAAGCCTGTGAAACCGGGGAATTAGGGATCTATTCTCTGTATATTTCAGTTGTTTTGTTTTGTTTTGAGACAGGGTTTCACTGTGCGGTTCAGACTGGCCTTGGACTCACTGTAACCTAGGCTGGCCTTCCTGAGTGCTGAGGTTTTAGGTGTGTACCACCAGGCCCACCTTTTTCATGGTTGTTTTTTTACTGAAGCAGTCTTCCCTTTGATTTGTTTTCTGTTGTCCAGGATTGTGTATTTAGTTAAAAATTCATTCTTTAATCTGATGGAGGAATTAGTGGAATTGTGGCATGAAGGATATGTCCCAAATTCAAGTGACTTTTTGTTGGTTTTAACTATTTGCATTTCCCATCCTGCTGTGGGCAGTCTACAAAGCTGAAAGAGTGAACTGAAGGCCAGTGGGTGTCACAGCAAAGTAGTCCCAGGCTCCAACCCCAGCTCTGCCACTTTTGTCCTTAGGCAATTTACACTGTGATGTTGACTGCATAATTTGTCGAATGGGGTTAGGGATACCTAGCCCACTGGATTATCATGAGGAATATGTGAAAATATGTGAATCTCTCTCTCCCCTCTCCCCTCTCCCCTCTCCTCTCTCCCCTCTCTTTTCCCAGGCCTCTGTTTAAGAGTAAAACTGCAGCGGTGTTTGCCATTTAAACACAAGGTAAGACACAAGTTTCATTGCTGTCTTGAACCCAGGGCCTCCCATGTGCAAGGAAAACAGTCCATATTCCAAAGCGCTCTTGTCTTCTATAATAGCACTGTGGGGACATCATTCTGTGTCATTTACTTCACCTATTTACAGTATCCAAGTCAGTGATTTTTAGTGTATTCAGCATTGCACAGCCATCACTATAATTTAGAATGTTTCCCTCACCTTCCAAAGAAACCCTGTGCCTGTTACAGTCACTGTCCTTTTCCTCTGACCCCTCCAGCCCTGGAAAACCACTACCTCCTGTCTGTCTCTCTAGATTCACCTGTTAGACATCTCATTTAAATGAAATTCATACAGTGTGGGGGCTTTGGTGTCTGGCTCCTCTGATTTAGCATAATCCATGTGGTGTATCAATGTTTCACTTTTTTTTATTTTTTTATGTTGTGTGGATATTCTACATTGTATTTATTTACCTTTTTATAGGTGTTACACATCTGAGTTTTTCCCATTCTGCAGGTGGTCTTTTTATTCTGTGTGTGTGTTGCCTGGGTGTGTTACTGGTCATTAACCTTACTGCCTTCACCCTGAGCTCAATGCCCAGGTCTTTTTATTTACTTTTTCTTGTTTTGAAACAAGGTCTCTCTACATTACCTGAGCTGGGCTCCAGTTTGAGATCCTCTTGCCTCAACCTCCTCAGTGCTGGGATTACACGGGTGTGCCACTGTGCCTGTCTTTATCTTTTTTCCTAACATGTATGTTTGATAGAACATTGCCTAAGAAAATGTTTTTACCTAACTACTAAGCAAGAATGTAGATTGACAGTTAATTCATGGTAATTGGTTATAGCTCCGGAATGCCTCAGGCTTATCTCTTGCTATCTCTATGATTTCTGAACAGGTTTGTCTTTTGCACCTTGCCCCTAGCAAGCCTCTGTTCAGACGGGGCGTCACCCCCTCTTCATACTCTCAAACCCTACCTATCCTATTAGGCCCAGTGAAATGGTATCTTCTTGGTGTCAGGCTCAGTTTCTAGAACAAAAATCACTTCTCTCCCTGGCACTTTTCTCCGAGTACTGGGGGTTGAACCCAGGGCCTCTCCTACATCTCCAGCCCTGACTTTTGATTTGCTGTGAGGCAAGATCTCTCCAAGTCTCTGACCTGGACCTGGAATCTTCCAGCCTGAGCCTCCTGAGTGCTGGGATTCTAAGTGTGTGCTGTGACGCCCGGCTCCTTCGCTCTTTGTCTTCTGATGTAGAGTGTATCATTTTCTCACATGTGTTTGTACTATCCAAGTTCACTTTTCATCCTCTTGGGTTGTCAGCTTCTTGAAGTCAGAGAATATAAATATAATCCCACTCTATGTTCACCACTGTAATCTTACACATAGTAGGAACTCAATGAACATGTGTTAAAGTGAGTTAAAGTTTTGTTATGTTTGTTTTGGTTTTTGAAACAAGGTCTATCTACATATGTGTTCCAAACTGGCCTTGTCAGGGCTGGGGATTTAGCTCAGTGGCGTAAGCACCTGCCTGGGAAGCACAAGGTCATGAGTTTGATCCCCGGTACCAAAAAAAAAGTTACACAGAGAGCCAAACTGGCCTTGACCTCTCTAGCAATCCTCCTGCCCCAGCCGCCCAAGTGCTGAGGTTACAGGCATGAGCCACCATGCCTGGATAAGTTGAGTAAATTAAGGAATGTTAATGCCAGTGGCTTATGTACTTGGTAAATTTTATTTTACATTTAATCTGTTTTAATTAAAAATTGAAATGGTTTCATATTTGTAGAAAAGTTGGAAAATGCCCAGGTTTATTAACAGTTTACATTTGCCACTTTTGTTTTACCATCAATGGCCTCTTCCAGTGTGTGCATATGTATTTTTTTTAAACTATGTTAAGTACAGGCATAATGCCTCCTTACTCTTAAATAGTGCAGGATATACTTCCTAAAAGCAAGGACATTCTTTTATATGATTACAGTACAATTTTTAAAACCAGGTAATTTAACCCTGATTCACTACTGTCACCTAGGCAAGTGTGGTGGCACATACCTGTAATCCTAGCACTTGGAGGCTGAGGCAGGAGGGTGGCTAGCATGGGCTACATAGTGAGCTCAAGGCCAGCCTGAATTACAAAGCAAGACCCTGTCTCAAAAAAAAAATAAATAAATAAAAGTACTGTCATCTAACCTACAGCACATATGCCAGCATGCCCTGTTTTCCAGTAGGATCCTTCCTGTGAGCCTTTCCTCCCCTGTCCCTCCTCCGTCACACATTAGCATTATTCTTCAATCTGGATTTGTTCTTGGCCTCCATCTTCCATGATCCTGATATTTTTGAACAATGTAGGTCAGCTGTTTTGTACATTCTGTCTCAGATTTGGTTCTCTGATACTTCCAGATTAGATTTTTTCTCCACTTTTGGCAAGAATATCGAATAAATGTGTTCTCACTACATCGTGTCAAGGGGCCTATCATTTTGTTTTGTTCCATTATTGGGACAGCTCCTCCACCAACTGTGGGGTTCCCCTGTGGTGTAATTCATGTAGGAAGAACAAAAGAGATGGTTGCTTTTTCCCCTTTTCCTTGTCATTCTTCCGAATCATGAGTCATGCTCAGTTTTTAACCAAAGTAAATGAGTGTACAGGGATTCTCTACCTGTGGTTTGTGGCGCAGAGTAAGAATTTCTGCCACTAGAAGGATTTGTATGCAGTCTGTCTTTTAAAAGCAATTGGTGCAAGCCAAAAAATGGCAGCTGCCTTGGGGAACAGAAAAAGAATCAAGAAGCCAAACCACACCTTCCTGTGAGCCAGTCTGGGAGACAAAAAGAGCAACCCCAGGCCCCTAAGCAATGGATTGATTCGGAGGAAGTCAGGCTAGGATGACAGCAACTGAGGAAGAAAAATAACTTAATACTTCAGTTGTTTGACTTTGCAGGCCTAAAGCTGGTAGTCTGAGCATCTATTTGGAGGATAACAGTATGCATTATAGCAACTGTGGAGGATTTCCTTCTGTCTTGTTTTTGAAAGCTAATGTTTTACTCCATTTTACTGTTTTTTTCCTGTATCTGGTAATCTAAGCAAGTGTTTTGAAGATAACAATATGCAGTATAACAATCACTGTCAAATTCCTATCATTTTATTTTGAAATTGTTTTTTGTTGTTGCTGCTGTCATTTTGCTTTAGTTGTTGTTTTGGTTTGTTTGTTCTTGATTTGTCTGTTTTTCCTTTTTTAAAATAAAAGAAAAAAGCACTTGGACTGGTGATCTCTAAGGTCCATTCTAGCTCTAATTGGCTGTGATTTTTTTTGCTCATGAAATACATTTTTCTCAGTAGTGAATAAGTAAGTAAGAATTAGTTTATGTGCTCCAGTGTTCTCTGGAGAATAGTCCTGTCTCTCCCGTACAGCGTGTTTCTTAGCTGCAAGAAAGTTGTCTCAGAGGCTCTGGGTCTTAGAGGTAAGCTAATCTGTGGGGACATAGCAGGGCCCAGAGGGACCCGGTAGCCAATATTATACTTGAGAATGAAAGTAATAGCATAGTAGAGGATGAGAAAAGGAGGATGCTCAAATTCTGCCTGTCGCAGTTCCATTTTTATAAAACAAATAATGAAAAGAAATGTGCAGCCTTGGGGTGTTTGTGGCAGGAGGCTGTTTACATACTGATTAGGGAAGAAGTAGCATGCCAGGGCGGGATCTTCCCAAGCAGAAGAGCACGTCTGATAGCTCACTGGTATAAGATTGTGTTTATGTGTATCATAAAAATGCCCTCTGCAGACCTTCCCCTGTTGACTAGAATACCACTTTTTTGGAGACAGTCTTGCTATGTAGTTCAGGCTGGCCTTGAACACAATCTCCTGCCTCTGCGTCCTGAGTGCTAATACTATAGGCATGTGCCGCCTCAGCTGTGTCAGAATATACACATTTCAAATTTCAGTTTTGCAGAAAATGTAAGAGATCTGTCCCTAAGGCTTGGTGTCAGAAACAAGACTTGGGGGGCTGAGGATTTAGCTGAGCGATGTAAGCGCCTGCCTTGCAAGTGTGCGATCATGAGTTTGATTCCTGGTACCACACCAAAAAAGAAAAAAGAAAAAGAAAAGAAACAGGTGTTGGGTTCTCATCCCTAGATTCTGGAGTCCACTGCATGTTTACCTCATTCTTTCATCTTACAGTGTTCTCATGTTTTGCTTCTACTGTTTTTTCTAACAGCTGGAAATCTACATTTCAGAAGGAACCCACTCAACAGAAGAAGACAGTAAGTGAACCTGGAAGCACTATTAAGAACAACGATGCAGAGTACTTCCTCTCAGATACTGAGTTGCCCTGCTGACCAAATGTCTACTGGGTCACTTACAAAAAAAACCTCACCATACTTATTGCCTCTTCCTTCCCTGGTGGGAAACTTGTTTTAGAGTGTGTTGCCTGGTTCTGGTTAGAGGCCACACATCCGTAAACAATATCCAGCTTTGGGAACCTCGATTTAAGAGCTTCAAGGGCACAGATCTGTTCTTTAGTTAGGTTAGCAGGTTAGGGAGCTCTGTACTTGGAGTGGAAAAAATATTTATGTATAGTGAGCATGGTGGTGCATGCCTATAATCCCTGCCCTCCAGAGGCTGAGGCAGGAAGATTACCATGAGTTAAGGCCAGCCTAAACTACATAGCAAGACCCTGTTTCAAAACAACAACCACAAACATACTTATATAGAGTTCTACGTGAGATGTTGGTTTGTTTGTTTTAAAACAGGGTTTTTCTGGCCTTCAACTCACTTTGTAGCCCAGGCTGGCCTTGAATTTGTAGTAATCCTCCTGCTTTCCCCTCCCCAGTGCTGGGATTACAGGTATGCTCTGTTATACCAGACTCATGAGACTTTTAATAGCATCCCGGCATTTAGTCTTGCTGGCCAAATGTCTAGTGGATCACTTGCAAAAAAACAAATAAACAAAATAACATGAATTAAGCATATGGACAGCTCTCTTTTTTAAACTCTTCCATTAAGATTGCTGGTAGAGGGGGCTGGGGTTTAGCTCAGCGGCATAAGCACCTGCCTTGCAAGCAGGTGGTCGTGAGTTCGATCCCCAGTACCGATAAAAATGAAAAAGACAAAAAAAAAAGATTGCTGGTAGCACTCAGGAGGGGCAGGAGGATCACCATGAATTCGAGGCCAGTCTGAACTGCACAGTGAAACTCTCTCAAAACAAAAATTTCCATTAGCATATTCTAGGCAACATAATTGCCAATAGTTTTGGTATATGAAAATCCATGTAAAATGATTTTTTAAAAGACCCAGTAAATAAATAGGAACAGAAAATTCACCCAAGATGAGCTAACCCACCAACATGGAAAATAATCTATTATTGTTAATTGTGGAAATGTAAGTTACAATAATCTGGAGCCATTTCTCACTTCTTGCTTGGCATCCATATTTCTTTTTATTAATAATAATTGCCTTTTGCTGGCAAATTTATAGCTCATACATTGTTTTTAGGAAATTGGTAAATGTAAATAATTCAATGATATGAATCATACTCTTTTTTTTTTTAAAGAGAAAAAAGAAAAAAAAACAAAGCAGTAAAAGGGTACAAGTAATACAGAATTTCAAGAAAAGAAAATATACAGTAAGAAATCACTAGTTAATAGATTACATATTGTCATCTTAGAAACAGTTGTCCAAATTACAAAATTAAAGCATACAAAATGAACATTCATACAGTGAGATTGCAGACAGTTCTGTTCAATGATCTAACAAAAACTCAGTAATATGGTTTTCTGTCCTACACACTTAAATATACATGCAGTTATATCCTTTAGACCACTTTCTTTTTCTCTCTTTTTTACAATAATAATTACACTTTTTGGGTTTTATTACTCCCACAGTTCTTATTACTTTTTTTTGAAGAGAATAAAACCAATTGTGACAAAACAAAACAATCGGAACAGAAGGATGGGGGGCTGGGGATTTAGCTCAGCGGCATAAGCGCCTGCCTTGCAAGCAGGCAGTCTTGAGGAAAAAGACAAAAAAAAAAAGAAAAAAAAAGAAAAAAACGAACAGAAATGGTTACCATTGTGGAATCATACTCTTTAACCCAATAATATTCTTTTTTTTTTTTGTCTTTTTCCTTTTTATCGGTACCGGGGATCAAACTCAAGACTGCCTGCTGCAAGGCAGGCGCTTATGCCGCTGAGCTAAATCCCCAGCCCCCCAATAATATTCTTAAGAGTTTTTCATGAAAGGTTTTTTTGTTGTTGTTGTTTTGGTACTAGGAATTGAACTCATGACCTCCTGTTGCCAGGCAGGTACTGTGCTATTGAGCCATATCCCTGGGCCCTATTCCACACAGTTAAAAAGTGTTCCCATAATGCTGTATGTGTAAGGTTGCTCAGTGTACCATAGTTTTAATAATTAGTTTAGAATACCTAAATTTTTGTCATACTAAATAACCATATTATTTTTAAAATGTATTTTCTTGGAATGTAGTTGCATAGAAATATATATATGGACAATTCTGGAAAGAAACAAAATAGTTGTGGTAGACAGCTAGACGATTATGGGGAATCTTTCTACTTTTCTCTTTCAAGTCTGCTTTCTAGACCTTAGAAATTCCATCATGAATACTATAATTAGCCCAAAACAGCTTTAAGTTCTTAGGCAGCTAAATTCTTTGGGTCAGCAGGCTAATAAAGTACCACCTGCTGCTGTCTGTTGACACTGTTGTGCTAACTTTGTGTGTTTTGCAGTCAACAAGCAGATCAATGACAAGGAGCGGGTGGCAGCCGCCATGGAGAACCCGAACCTGCGGGAGATCGTGGAGCAGTGTGTCTTGGAGCCTGACTGACCTCTGCCCCAGGGCCACACACAGCGAATTGTTTGGTGTATTTGTTTAAACCCTTGTAAAGTGTAAAAGACTTGTGTTTAATACATAGATGATTCATACCTCAAAGTATTTTCTAAAGGATTATTTCCGAGCAAGTTTTAATTACAAGGCTTACCTGACATATCCAGTGAATAACATTCTCAGGATTTGTAACACGTAACCGATCAGACAGAAGAATCTTTTCTAGCTATTATGAGTAAGATTAGTCACTATTTTTTGATGCCCATTCTGATACAACTACTTTTCATGTCAAATATCTGCTGTGCTCAAGTGTATTCAATTTAAATCATTAAAATAAATAAATCCTGTGATTCTTATAACTTGACTCACCTTAGAATCTTTTTTTTTTTTTTTTTTTAACCTTAGAATCTTTTTGTTGAATTGTAAATTCTAGTGTAAATGCCAACTCCTGAAAGACATTTCAAAGGTGTTGTTTTTGCTAATTATTATGTAGGATCAGATCTGAAAATCAAAAGGAACCTTTAAGGTCAGACCCTGTCTTCCTTCCTTCTTGGATTCATTTATAGTGAGGAGCAAATGCAGAGTGTCTGATGACTTACACAACTGATGATCAGTCAGTCCCCCAGCTGGGCAAGATGGCACACACCCATAATCCCAGCTTCTGAGGAGGCTGAGGCAGAAAGATTGCAAATTCAAAGCCAGCATGAATATTTTATCAAGATCCCATGTCACAGCCAGGTGTGATGGCACACAGCTGTAATCCCAGCACTCATAAGGCTGAGGCAGGAGGATCACTGTTAGTTTGAAGCCAGCCTGGGGTACATAGTGAGTTCAAGGTCATTCTGAACTATGTAGTAAGACCCTGCCTCAAAAAAGAAAAAAAAAAAACAGTATCAAAATTTAAAAATAAAAAGAGTAAAGCACTTGCTAACCAGGCCCTAGGCTCTAGGTTCAATCCCATAGAAAAAACAAATCCTTTGTTATGGTTTGTCTCCAGATGCCCCCTTCAAGCTTCATGCAGTCTTAGACCTGTGGAAGGCTGATGGATGACAGAACTTCATAGCTTCCTGGGGCCTGCATGGAAGAGGCAGCTCTGTCGTCGTGGCCTGAAGTTGGAGCTCTCTTCTCAGCTCCCCACTTGTCACCCTGCCTCCAGTATACCATGCCTGAGCCCCTTGTCTGCCATGCTGTTTCTCCTTTAGAACTGGCCATGCTGGGCTGAAACATGGGCTGAACTAAACCTCTCCTTTACACTGTGGGTTGGGTTTTGGCCCAGCAATTCGGGAGATGATCAAAACATCCTATCAAGTGGGGAAAGCACAGGCTTAGTGAGTTCAACCCCCAGCACCACCAAAAAAGCAAAATGAAGTTTCCCTCTTCAGGCATGGTGCCACATGCCTGTAATCCAGCACTCTTAGAAACTGAAGCAGGTGGATCCAAGTTTAAGCCCTCCTGAGCAACCAAGCAAGACCTTGTCTCAAGATAAAAAGACAGGGTATGGAGCTCAGTGCAAGGCCTTGGATTTTATTCCCAATACTGAAAAAAAAAAGGCCTCCCAAAGAAGTTTGATTAGACCAGTCTTAATTTATGTTTATTAGAGATTAATAGCCATTGGAACTGTAACAGAGTGTCAGGCAGCCTTTGAAATACCTCCTGGCAGTCTTCACGTTTTAGTATTTGTGCCTCTGAATAGTTTGCTTCCATACTGAATCAGAACTGGCAGTTGCACCCCGTCAGGAAAGACAGAGGTTGTCGGTGTCACTCCCGGCCGGCAGGAAGGACACACAACAAAGTCTGGCAGTGGACAACCTTTTCTTTTATTTTCCTTCTCCGTACAGCCTGCCCCAGGAATCCTCCCGGCCGAAGCCTCTGTTGGTCCACTCCCCGCGGCTCCTTGCGTGCTTCTCCCTACAGTCTGTCCCGAAGCCTCTACCGGTCCGCTCTCCGCGGCTCCTTGCGTGCTTCTCCCTACAGTCTGTCCCGAAGCCTCTACCGGTCCGCTCTCCGCGGCTCCTTGCGTGCTTCTTCTGCTTCTTCTTTCGTGGCGGGAAAGGCGCTCACTTTTATAGGGTTACAGTGGCCAATCAGTTCAAAGCGCGCGATGCGGGCTGATTGGCTAACATCAGTTGTTGCTAGGCAGACTATCTTACAGGGCGGGTTGTGAAGCAGGAGATCTTACAGGGCGGGTTGTTTACCAAGCAGGAAGCAGGAGATCTTACAGGGCGGGTTGTTTACCAAGCAAGAAGCAGGAGATCTTACAGGGCGGGTTGTTTACCAAGCAGGAAGCAGGAGATCTTACAGGGCGGGTTGTTTACCAAGCAGGAAGCAGGAGATAAGCGCCATCTTAGCACACTCGATGGGAGGGGTAATCTAGCTCAGGCTTTGCTCTTTCCTACAGGCCTCACGTCCGCCAAGTAAGGCGACTGGGCTCGGCCGCGGCTCCCAACAAGAGGTGACTGTGATTTCTGAGCCTAGATCACAGTAGGTATTGCTGCTCAGTCTCTTGGATTGCTAATTCTGCCAGAATCTGGTGCTGTATCAAGAACACTCAAACAGCCTGCTGGCGAATTCCTTTTGGAGAAAACTTGACCCTCGCACCATCAGCCAGCACTGACTTGCAAACGGGGGTGGTGTGTGTGTGTGTGTGTGTGTGTGTGTGTGTGTGTCAAGTGTTTTCAAAGGAACACTGCAGTAAATGAAGCATGAGGTACGGCCTGTCCCACAGCTGCCCAGTGAGCGGTTCCAAGCGGTGGGAGATGGTCACCACTGACCACTTCTTGTTCCACCACTACGTCTTGGGGGATGATTTGTAATGAGGCACTAAGTTAATACGGAAGGTGCAGCTGTGACCGAGAGCAGTCCCATGTTTGAGAAACGAGGGGAATTGCAAGAAGTGTGCTTGGAGAATTTGGAAATGTGCAGTCTTGCAGGTGGAAGACTTGGAAGACTCAGGCCTGACTCAGACCTGGGAAAGAAAGTGCACATGACTCCTGCCTTAGAAACATGTGGAGCTGAGAAGGCTACAGTCATTACCTTGGAGGTGGAGCCGTGCTGAAGGTTTCTCATGGGTCCTAGAGTCAGGTTTGAGATTGGCCAGAGGCTATTAGCAGGACACAGGGACCACAGCAGGAAACATTTAGATGTGTCCTGCCTGGTTCCCAGCATCTGACCCAGAGGAGAGGACAGTGACAACCCAGTGGGAATGCATCTGCCAGCCTGTCAAAGTGTTACCACAAGACAGGGCAGCAGCTGCGGTCACCAGATGGGCCTGGATTGCACAGAGCCAACCTGCTAAGTGAGACTCACCTTTTCTCTAGGGCCACCCCTGCTGCTGGCTTCTGAGGCAGTTGGAAGATAACCAGCTAGCTGACCCCAGAAATGGGCAGCTTGAAGCAAGCTCAGGGCGGCAAAAGATTGAATGCCAAGTGTGTGGTTCAGGTGGCTAGAGGTGACTGGATACTTAGTGAAATGAGATTGTATGATAAAAAGAGACCAGAAGGAGCTGGAGGTATGGCTCAGTGATGGAGCACAGACTAGGAGGTGCAAGGGCCCCTTGCTATAAAAGTTCCCTGTGTCTCCTCTTTTTTTTCAGCTCTTTAAAAATCTGTTCTCCAGCATCTAGAAGTAATAAAATGTTCCTCAGTTTTTACACTTTTTTTTTTGAAATTTTCTGCCAGGCTTGGTGGCTTACAACTGTAATCCCAGTACTGAGGAGGCTGAAGCAGGAGAATTGCTTCAAGTTCGAGGCCAGCCTAGGCTACAAAATGAGTTCAAGGCCAGCTTGAACTTCATAGCAAAACGCTGTCTCAAAAAGAAAGAAAGAAAGAAAAATAAACACGACATTTTCCTTTTCATTAAGATTTGGATTGGGGGCTGGGGATTTAGCTCAGCGGCATAAACGCCTGCCTTGCCAGCAGGCAGTTGTGAGTTTGATCCCCGGTACTGATAAAAAAGAAAAAGACAAGAAAAAAAAAAAGATTTGGATTTTATTTTTTTGAGATAGGATCTTATTGTACGACCCATGCCAGTCTCAAACTCCTGGACTCAGGTGATGCCTTTTGCCTCAGCCTCCTCCTGTGTAACTGGGACTACAGACATGAACCACCATCCCAAGCTTGTGTTCCTAATTTGTAATTATTATTGTAATCTTGGCTTTCTAAATTACAAATCCACCAGAAAAACATTAAGATCAACATTTAATTTCTTTATGACATTTCGTGTCCCAGGGTGAAGGCTGGATATAAGGGTGTAGCCCCCTGTTCCCACACCTAATGACACATGTTCCCATGCATGCCATTTGACAACTGTAGCTTCCAGAGGCCACAAGGGGCATCATCTGAGGGGATGCTGGGAAATCATAGACCAGGGTCACATGACCATGTTGGGATTTAGAAAATACCCGAAAGTATATGTATCTTGAACTACGGAGACCGTAAAGCCTTAATCTTAGTCCATCTTTTGGTCTCCCATTTCTCTTTGACTCTGAAGCAGTCTTGACACCAGAATTTCTCCTTCCTAAGGCAGGTCATAGAAACTAGAGGCCCCGGCTATGTAAGCAAGCCACAAAATCCTGCCTTTTAACCTCCAATTCTTTCCCCATCTTGTAGTGGAGGAGTTGACCAGCCCTGGAGGAAGGAGCGCCGCTCAGAGCCCAGAGGCCTCTGAGCAGACTGGCCTGTTTCTATTAAACTGTTCCCTTGGTCCAGTCACTTTTCTATCCACTCTTTGTCAAATCTATGTGTCAAATTAGTTTTCCCTGGGCCTTGGGAGCCTTCATTTCTTTCTTGTCTGTAGTACATAAGGATCAACTGCATTGTGGCGAATGGGTCTTGCACAGAAAGGAGAGGATTCCTTGGTGGGAAGGTAGTTGCTTGTTAGAGGCAACTTGTCCACCTCCCACTGGGTACCATTACTTGGGAGAAACACTAGATGGCAGAAGAGCACTATTTCCCTACTGACACCTTTACCCGCTGTGCATGGCCGCCCTAGGTGGCTCCAGCACTTTGAGGGAGCCGCAGGGAACCACAGGCGATGAGTGGGGCCCACCCGGCTAAACATTGGCTTGCACTTTTGCTCTGACGGGTAATCACTGAAGGTTCTTAGATGTAGAATCACCTTGCCAATAATTGTAACTAATTTTTAGTCTTTGACACCATTGTTGAATCACCTTCTAAAGAAATTGTATCAAGAGTGATACCCACCAAGAATGTAGGATGTCTCTACCCTACATTGACTATTAATATTTAAAAATCCTTGCCCTAGGTGAAAGATAAAAAAGTGTTTTTTAAATTTTATTTTACTAAGTTTAATGACTTAAAAATTGCTTTAAAAACACGTTAATATCCTTTGCCAATGCTTT